ATTTGATCCCACCTGGTCATTTTATAGCAGTTGTGTCTGTGTTAGCAGCCATGCAACAGCTTGGTACATTTTTGGTTTCTCAGGCTCCCCTTGAGCCTCTATTGTCTTTACTCATATTACTCATTGGCACCATTGGCATTGGAACTATTGAGTAGTTCTCATGATCACTCTTTCCATGTGGTAGAAAGTTGATGCTTTTGAAAGCGTCTCCAGCAAAGGTCACTTTAAACAAGAGAACATATTTTCATACATCAGGTACTGACAATGTGTCCTAATGTTTTTCCCACAAGTGCATTTATAAAAGTGTGAAGTAGCACAAAGCTGCTTCAGGACCATTCAGCAGTTTTCACTGCTGTAAGAATATCTATGCAGGGAGTTGAGTGATAGTGAGGATTTGGACATCTCTGATGATACTGTTGTATCTGTGCTTAAACTTCATTAAAGTTATCACCTAATAACTTTAACTAATTTATAATTGTAGCTGACATGTCTATGAAGATGCCTGGAAGAAGCTGGTGCTTAATGTGGCTTAGTCTGTGAAGGTCTGCGTTTTGCAGGATTCTTTACAGCAACAACGATGTGAGGAGGTAATATCCAGTGTTAGTAGACAGGTGGAGGTTTTCGTAAAATCAACAGCTAAAGATTACAGATATCTGCTTAAAGTTTCTTTATTGAAACAGTGCTGTAGAGAACTATTTGCCAAACGTGAAAGTCTGAAAAATAGACTATGTCTCAGTTACTGAGGTTCTAGATATTCTCCTGCACCCACTGAACTGAATAATTTATGTTGGAGTTGAACTCCAGGATTTGGCTTTTCAATTACAGCATTGATTATCAGTACATGAGAATTTTATAAAACATTTTAGAATAGTGACTAGTTACCTGGATGTTGAAGTTTTCTCTACCAAATTTTCATGATTTGTTGCTCATTCAAAATCCATGCAAGATTTGAAGTTGGCAGTATGGCAATATTTACTTTGTCATACTGGGAATATGATTCCAGTTGCTTACAGTGATTTTTTTTTCCTTTTAGCCACTGGCTGTTGATGCTGACAACTTCAAAAGGCTTTTTTTTTTAATTCTTTTAGTTCTTCCTACACATTTGACTGTCATTTAGAAGTGTTGGGAAATGGAAGAATAGCATCCAATACATACAAATTCCATTCCCTTTTCTCATCTCAGTCAGCTTTTAGCTGTATCTTGAAGGAGTTTACATACAGCGATAATCCCTGTTTTCTGAGAAGTTACATTGGTTCTCACGGTGATCAAAGGTATCAGTACTTGCTCATAGGCAGTCAGTTCCAACCAGTATGACACCAAGCTCTTCATTGTTGCAAAAAAATGTTGCTATGGGAAGAAGGAGACGAAGAGGGAAGCAAAAGCACAACTCCACATTTTCTGTTGTCTCATCTCCGTCTTTTTTTGAGATTGCTGAAGCTCCACTCTTGACTTGCAAGCTCTGTATATTTTTTTGGCAGTGTAAACAAGAAACCCATATATGAAAAAAAAAGTGCATAATTCTAATAAGAGTCTTGACACTGGACGGAAAAGAAATTGAGATGATTTTCAAGGATTACTAGAGAGAGATTAAAGGGTTGTGCGACTGCAAGATGAGCCAGCAGAGAAAAAGGTGATATCAGATGTCAGTCTCTAGAGAGACTGTTTCTGGCTAGGAAAAGCTCAGAATCATGAAGGTTCAGATTGTGATGACTGCTTTCTTTTAGTGATCAGTTACTATTGGAGGAGTATTTATACTGCTAGAGTTTCCACACGGACTTGTACATGTGAAAGAGAGTGAAGAGAGGATTTACACTACTCAGGAGAATGACTTAATTACATGTGTCAAGTCAGGTGCTTTTTTTCTTCTTTTTTATTACTGTGAGCAGTAAAGTGCTGGAAAGGAATTTTGTTTTGTCATGAAATGAGGTTATAGTCTGACAGCAATATGAATACCCAAAATAGATGTGGTAGTGTGTTTGCATCCCTTACATTTCTTTCTGTGACATAATGAGTATGAAAAGAGCATGGCGCCAATACTGTGTGTCCTACTGCATACCCAACACCTTGGCTTGAGGTGTTCTGAAAACTTCTCTATTCCAGGTGACAGACATCTTTCTGTATTAAATATGCTTTTTTTCTGAATGGAACTAGGTCTTATCTGATTATTAAGCATCCAAAATGTGAAATAAAATCCAATCCATGAACCCACAGTTTACACAGTACTGGTTGACTTCTGTGCAGATTCTAATACATGAATGTTGTGGGTAAACAGGTGCAAATGAAGACATCTGTAAAGTGAAGCATACTATGAAGATAAACATTAGCATTACTTGAAAGGTAATTAAATCTGATGAAAGATGGAGAACTTATTATTATTGAATCAAACCTTCAGTTGAATTGATTTTGAGAGATGGTAGAAACAGTATCTGTCATCAGATCTGCTAGTTATCTGAAAATATTATTTTTTTTCTGCAGATAATCTAATACAAGAAGGGAGAATGTGGGTTCACCATTTTTTATTAAGATTCCTTGAGAGAGAAAATGGAAAAGAGGTGCTTTTTTTTAAAGTTCATGACGTTCCTTCATGGGGAGCACATGGCATAAAGAAGCACATCACTGCTACCAGAGAGCTGAGATTCAGGAGTTAGTTTTATTTTGTTGGATTCTAGTTATTTGAGCTAACTGCTTAACCTGTTTTTTTGCATATAATGTGTAATGGTATTGTGGTGGCATCTAATGAAAGGAAAATGCAGTAGTTAATTTTTACCCTTAGTTGCTGCACATCAGTTAAAGTTACCGTCCCTCGAAAATAACTTCAAAAAATTAGCACAAAATGAAGGCTTAGACAACAAGGGAAGATGGGGAGAGAGAGAGGGGTAGATCTGCTTGGAGACAGGTATCTGAGTTGAACATCTTTCTATATGAACTGTACTTGTGATGAATTGCAGGGTTTCATACATTTTGTTGTTGGCCAGCTTACCAGATAAAATATTATAGTACTTGTGAAAATACTCGTTACACCATCCATTTCCTAAAGCCAGAAATTTTCAAAGCACTTCTGTTGTGTGGATACTGAAGGAAATGTAGGTCACTTCTTTCCCCACTCTCTTCTGGATTTCCTGCCTTATGTAGCAGTAAATAAACTGTTTGATCTTAAAGCTTTTCTACGTCTTTCATTTTGCTTTGGCTTGATCTGTCCTGAGGATCATTTGCCTTGTACCAGGTGGTGGGAACAGTGGGGTCTCTAGCAAGGCTAGTCTGCAGCAGTGGAGGTTGTAAAGGCAGCCCTTAACAAAATGTGCTTGCTGATGAAGTGAGCAGGTTTGTTCTTTTAGAGTGTGTTGTACATGCAGTGCTGGTAGACCCTTTGTCCTGAAAGATTCCACAGGCAAGTGAAGAACTAAACTGCAAAGTTTTTCAAAAGCACTTGGTACTGGCACAGCTTCCCACGGATCATTTGAATGTGAGAAGAATTCAGCCATGCTTAATGACTTTGTTGAACTGATTAAGAATGGGATTTTTTTTCCAGTCAAATTGCAAACTGTTGAGAATGAAGATGTCTCTTCTGTTTAGGAACTTCCTTTTGTTTTTCCTCTGTGCTTCACCCCTGTTTTCTCTGGTATACTTGTACATATTTTATGTTCATACAGTTACCAAATTTCCCCTTTGTATATTGCATAGGAAAAAGTTTAAAATGGTCCAACTTCTATTTCCATTGCATTTTCCAACTTTTTTTTTAACTAAGCTGAGAATGAAACTCGGTCCTTGATAAATATTGGGAGAATGTGAAACAGTAACATATGAGACAGCCTGAACAACCGAGTGCCGTCATTTTATGGCCAGGGCTGAGAGGTGGGAAGGCTCAGTTTTGCCTCTGTATAGGTGTTCTGGATTAACAGTTGTTAGGGAACCAGGCTAAAAACTGAGTATAAAATAATAACATAGTTTCAGATCATGTGCAGTTACATTCAAAACAACACAGGGAATTTAGAGACTGTTCTCTGGATTAATTAGTTCCAATGTAACCCAATTTCTACATTTCTGAAGCTACTTATTAGGTTTCCAGTGTTACATCATTGTAACAACTTGCACCAAGTGGGGTTCTGGTTCTAAATGTATAGAGTATATGTTGTCCATGTGGCAAACTTGGTTGCTTTAACAAGTGCCTGATCCCTCTGTAAGTTTGCGTGTTTTTCTTTGTGCCTGTTGTATATTTGTATTTAAGGCCAACATCAGGTATGTCCCAGGTTTTGTAGCAAATATCCAGTCATGTACTGCAAACTCTGACCTGCTAGTTCTCAAACAAATATACAAAGTGCTTTGAAATAGAAATAAACATATATTTTGTGTAAATAGTTGTAATTGATCGCAAAGCTCTTCATTTAGGCTTCTGTGCCCTTTGCCATCTGCCTGTATAGAAAACCTGTGATGAGAGCTTTTCTTTTTAAATTAGGGCAGTGGCTTTCAAATGACTGTGATGCTGAATTGGTGATAACTTTGAGAACTTTGTATATATAAAAAGTGAATGTGTTACTTTCTATTTTCTGTTAGTAGTGCCCTCTCACTGCTATCAGCAGCAGTAGCTTAAATGGGAAAACATACAAACAAAGAAATACATTCAGAAGTCATTGAGGGAACTCTCTTAAATTTATTTCAGATATTTTAGGTGGCATGTGTTTCAGCCATCTGTTGAAATTGCAAGATTGTTTTTGATTTGCTTAAAATGGTATAATTAACTTTATTCCCCAATTAATTACTCTGTTCTCTCTACTACCTGTTCTTCTAGAAGAAATGGATGATTTATATATTTGTTAAAAGATAGATAGCATAAACCATGTAGCTCTAACACACATCTTTTAATGAAGATTTTAATGTGACCTAGTAGGTCTATAGCTCATATGAAGGCATCTCCAGTATGAAGTTATATTTGGACTCACCATTTTTTTGTTTGTTTGTTTTTCTGTCCTGTCTTCCTCTCTCCTTGCCCCATTTTCTTACAGAGATCAGAATATTCTGGATCCTACTTTGGAATATGTTAAGGTAAGGTACAATTTCTTACTCTCAAAATATTTTATTTGGTGTATATACTCAGCACTGCCAGACGTTTGTAGTTAAGTAGCGCAACTGTCTGTCTTTTGCTACAGAGATACTGATTATACATATCACACTGTTTGCTTAGTGTTTCAATGAAATACTTGTGGGAATTGTGCTTTGGGGGTAGGTTGCATTTTTATACTGGGGCTTCTTTACTGTTATGTGGTGACTACCTAATTTTTGCTTTTGTTAACAGATTAAAAGAATCTGCATGTGTTGCTTATGGATTTCTGGGGAAGTAAAGGAACATATCTGAAAGTAGTATAAAAATGTCAGGTTCAGGTTTATGGTTTTAACAATACACTTACTAACATTATGGTTAAAAATTCACTTCTGGTTCAAAAAGTAACTGGAACCCTGGAAAAATTGTGAGTTCTGTTTTCCTTTTGTACAAGATCAGAGTGTGTACTTTGTTAAAGTAAATAAAAAATAGTCTGGAGCATTCAAAAATTTTATTCAAAAATCAACCCTGGATTTGCAATATAGAAACTTTGGAAGAAGCCTTAGGGTTGTGATTCTGTACTGGCAATCTCTTGTAATGCTGTAATTTCTGCTGAATTAGCACCTTTCAACATGTTTAAGTGAATATTGTTTCTCAGAACCTTGCAAGAATCTGGCTTATACATCATGTCTCTCAACAGTGGGCTTCTCTAATTGTTGAACTTTGTTCTCTGTCTTTTAGAAGTTTTCTGAGAAGTGTCAGATAAACACAGGTTATCCTTAACAAAGGATATTTCTGTAGCTATTCATGCAAGTCTGAATTTCTCAGACACCCGAATTTCTGCTACAGGTTAGAGTTCAGGAGAGGAAGAGACTGAGAGCCAGTCTGGGTTTTGCAACTGGAATTCCCTCTGTGGATGTTCATTGTTGAGGGAAATGGAGAGGTGCCCAATCTTAGGGTTCAGATTGATTGAAGAAGAAAACTAGGAGAATGTGTTGATAGGGGATTGTCACAGGAAAGTGCTGAGAATTAATTCATCTGAGAGTGTGTCAGGGTCATCTGCTGTACTTTCTGCCTAGGGTTGGGATGGATGTAGGAAGTAGGGTTTCAAAGAAGAGGAGGGGAAGAGCAGAACACAAAGGTCCGTGGAAAAGTGACTGCTGGAGGACTCTCAGAACAGCTGCTGGATTTCTGCTCTAAACAGTTAGCTCACTGTTGTGAGGTCCCTGGCCTCAATCCCAGCCTAAAGTTGGGATATGGTAAAGTAGCAGAGACAGAGAAGGCCAAAAGCCTGCTCGAGAGTGCTGTAGAAGAGGGGATGCCAGAGGCAACAAGGTGGTGGACATGTTAATTGCTCTATTTAATTTACTGTGTATCTTGCACTATGCTGTACAGAGTATGTTGTTACGGTTTGAATAATATGACCAAGTAGAAGGCAGAGGTATCATGTGCCAATTCATCAATATGTGTGTCTTGTCTTGTTGCAGCAAGTTCTTTATAATAAATGTGGTTTCTGATCTTTTCAACTTTTCTAGTAGAAGCTTGTCTTGGACTCTTGTCAATAGCAGTGGTGCTAAGCTTAGTTATTAAAACTTTGATGTTGAGGAAGAAAGCCCGAGGAAAAGAGACATGAGGGAGAACATAAGGGTTGCTATCCTCTTCTCTTCTTCCTTTTTCAGTTTTTCTTGTCTATATCTGTATCTTTAGTGAACTGCGAGTTTGGACCCTAGTTCAGTGATATTATAACAGGAATTCTAGACAAGAAATCTCAAACTACAACTTTGAAGAATATGCAGAAATTGTTTTCTAATAAATATAACTCCCTTAAACACTTTTTTGTCTTTCAAAGTCTGGGTTACTAACAAAACCAGAAAACTAACAAAATTCAGAAATGTGTTCTTACACAGAAAATGATCATAATTAAAGGAAGACTCTCATCAATAATTTGTTATCAGTTAACTCTAACTGTAAAAGATGTGCCTGAATTCATATTAAGAGGATCTTGGACTCCCTTTGTTGGCTCAAGTTTCAGCAAGTATGTGTTCATTGTCTTCTATAACTTACCTTATGTTAACTATTATATTAATGTTTATAAATTTTCCAGATCCTTGAATAAATTATAATGGCAACGTTAAGTCAGGTATAAACTGCAGAACACTAACCTACTCATGCTGAAAAAATAGATTTCTGTAGCATCTCACAATGTTTATACCACCATTGCCATTTGCACAAGTCTCTTTGATATATAGTCTGTGCATATGTAGTTTGAACAAGCAGGCAGGCTTTGACAGATGTTGTTTAAGTGGTGAAAAAAATGCCTTTAAGTGAAGAAGAGATAGTAAGAGAAGAGGGAGAAACGAGCACTTTTGGGAACCATATTTTGCTGATTTAGGATACTGAAGTTCTGAGCGACAGATTTGTATTCTGATACACAGGAAAATATAGTTAGGATTGTCTCTCAACAGAAAATTGTCAATTCACTGACTGGAAACATAAACTTGAGTGTGAAGCACATATGATGTACCAGTCATACGTAAGAACTAATGCTGAAACTAATTGTACACAGTCATGATACTGATTCTCATGTTGCTATTCAAACTGTAAAGAGAAGAGAAACTTTGGATTAATTTGCCTTGTTAAAAATTGCATTATCCTGAAAGTAATACATGACACAAATTTAAGTTGTACTGCTGGTGCAGTACGAAATTACGTTTTGCTGCTGGTGAGTCTTCCCAGGAGTTACAGTCCTGACAAACAAACTGTACTGTCAGGCCCTGAAGGCACTCGTTTCTGAGTGTTCTGGACAGCCTCACTTAGGACCTCCACCCACGCCCACCCAGCAAAAGCTCCACCAGGCTGGAGCCTTCAAACCCTGCTCGAGTTGAGTAGGTGTGCCTGCCCCTAGTCCTGTTTCTCAAGTGCTGTGTGGGAAGCCCTGGACGGACCTTAGACCTGTTACCTGTCTTGCCTGAGGCTCACTGGAATGTGATAGGACCTGTTGTGTCATCACCCTGCTCACCTTGCTTGCATCTTGGTGCTGTGGGACTGCACCTTGTTGGTGAGCACTTTGGCCTCCCTGTGCCCCCAGATCACCATTCCTTAGGGAGCAGCTCCACTCCTGTTGCTCCCTGACACACTAATTGTAGGTGGCTGTTTTGAAAGATCCAATGTGATCAAATAGATGCCATTCTCATAACTGATCCACTTTATCAGGCTGCACAGTCATACCTATTCTCCTTCAAGGCAAGCAGCTGGTTTTAAACTAGCTAGATTTAAAAAGTAATTTTACAAAACAAAGCTGGGCACAGAGCAGACCCTGAAGCTTCATAGTTGCAAATTAGCACTGTTTCTGCAGTGATGCAAACATGCTACTGGAGTTTCTGGAGTCCCATAAAAAAGATAATACTCGTTTAGAATGTGCTCCTGCTGGGGAGTGATCAGCATCTCTTCAAAACTGGACTCTGCTGTAAATAGAATGTGGAGAATTCATTCAGGCTTGAGGAAGAGTAACATGGTTCTGGTTTTGATTCAGTGTGCTGGTTCACAGTGAAAAGTGTATCATCATGTTTGTTGTGGCAGTGACTACAAGCAGAGAAACTCATGGTAAACTTTGAAGCTGAGTGTATCAATTTGCTTTTTAACAAACCTTTCCTTGCTGGAATCTGGTGACTCAAAGTAATACAAATAAATCCTTGTATTCAGAAATACTCTGAACAGAGGAAAGACAAAAAACCTGTTTTTTCTGCTATCTTATTCTGTTCAAGATACAAGACAGAAAAGCACTAGTTATACTGCTTTTTTTTTTTTTTTTTTGAGAATTCTCTATAGATGCACTATGGTTTCTTATTCTGTAATCTAAATTACAGCTCACAAATGACAGTGTAGTTTACTACACCTTGAATATTGATGTATTGGTTCATTCGATACATAAAGAGAGCTAATCATGCAAAAGCAAGTTCTAAACAGGAGGAAAAAAGTACTGATTTGCTGGAGTCGGAGTACTGAAGTGTCCATATGGCTTCAGCCCTTCCTTTGTCTTTGTAGTGCTGCTGAAACCATGGTCACAGTTAAATGGCTCTTTCAAAAAAACCTTTTATGGTAGAAGTGAAAACAGGCCAGACTGCTTTGAGTCAGGCTGCTACCCATGTCATGAAAGAGATTTAGGGACACAATAGCACGTTGTACATACTCTGTGAGATTTTTACAAGTTTTATGAGCCAAATAATAGATCCATTGGTAGTCTCTGCAGGTTCTTCTCACACCCTGAGTCTGCACATCCACAGAACAGACTCCTGCAGCAGGGGAGAAAGAATCAAGTGCTTGCAGATTTGAGTGTGTCAGAGAACTTTTTGTGAGTCGTTTTGATCAAATTCATATGAACTAAAGATAGCTTTCTGTCCCATTCCTATTCACTATAAATACTTTAGGTTCTTTTTATAGAAGTCTGTGCTGTGATCATTGAAGCTATATCAGGGCAAAAAGAAAAAAAAACCACTAGATTTCTCTCTTCCTTTCATGGAAACCTTTTGAGCATTTCCCGTGGAAATAGTGTTTAATAATTACAGAAGTACATATCAGTGATGAGTTGATGAGTATTTCTATGGCCTGAGGTTTTAGAGTTGTATTTTAATCCATTAGTGGAAAATTACAAAATTTATGGCTGATTGTCTGCTCAGCATGGTCATGAGGGAAGTTTATATTTAGATTCTGTCTCGGAAAAACCGTTGCTGCCCTAAGGAAGTTACAGCTGCAGAAAAGCATTCTCTTGTGAAGTTCTGCTGAAGGATTGTTGTTTGTCTCAGCCCCATGGTGTTCATTTTTTCCCTATTTTTACAGCTCCTTGATTTTGTTAGAAAGCAAACTGTCATAAAAGTTACCGTCATTTATCATGGCTTTGGTTAATGCAAGTGAAAATAAAATTTTGATGACATTCCAGGTTGTTGATCATTATCTGTAACTTTGCAAGATAGGACAATGTTTTGTGGGTTTAATTCAACTTTAGGAA